ATTTTTATAAACTGAGGAGTATAGAAATTACTCTTCCAGCTTTAGACTATGGAGGAAGTGAACAGATTCAGCTTCTAATAATATAAAAAAATTTAAAAAGGCAGAAAAAAAGTCGGACACCTGTAGAAGAGGCTTCCAGCAATTACGCCACAACAAATCGGTGTCAGGTTCTCCTGGAGAGACTGCCATTTCTTGTACCTCTTGAGCGGCATTTAGTTCACTCAATACATCGTAGGGCTTGTCGGATGGATGATCAGAAGGTAAAGTTCGCCATTCCGTATAAATTGAAGTTGCTCGCGAAAAAAGGGTGTGAATCAAATCAAGGAGCTAAAGATGGTGTGAAGGAGAAGGAAGGTAGCATCAACGCTGAGATTGCAAAGGTATATAATATAAATGGTTTAGAAAGAAAAAGTGTTATTATTTCCGAAGCTTTTCCCATTCGAGCATTTTTACTATTTTCAAAAAGTTTATCAAACCTCAAGAAACAGGTGAAAGTAAATATAATGCTAAACAAGACCCATCGACAATTATCTCTTCTTAACTGGGACTTTTCGCATTAGCTGTGATTTTCTTGAAAATTTAAACGATGCATAATTAAAACCATGTATTATGGAAATATTATCTTTCCTTTAAAAAAGATTTATGAAAATATCAAAATAATTAGATCGATGAAAGGAGCATACTTCGAGGTATTATGCTAGAATCTGTCTTCAAAAATTAAAATTATGGTCGTGAGAATAGTTTTAAAAGGACTATAAAAATGTGAAGGCCTTCATTTCAAACTCACTAATACCGCCAAAGCTCCAGTGACTGGTGCGAGATTTACTGAAACGGCTGCCTCTTCGTCAATTAAAGTCGATTCGCCCCAATTCGTAGAGGCTTCAAATTCTGAGTCCGAGTCAGATCCCGAGGCTGAATCTCCATCGACGCCAAATGCTGAAAAACCAGGGAATAGATGGTGCAGTTGCGAGGAATTGCGAATATGACGGTCCTAAGCGAAGCAGAGAGAAGGAAAACAAAATTGATAGCTCTAAAAAGTTTGAAAGAAGTGCCTTCTGGCTTATAAAAGTATCACCAAACCTAAAAAATCGAAGGGATCGTGATTAGAAAAAAGTGTTTAAATTTGTGATATACCTTAATATAATAAGAAATAACGGAGTTAAAAAAGCTCGTCTCTAACAAATTTCAAGTAGAGTTATTTAAAAAGTAGACTCAATGTAAAGAAATAACACTCAACTGCTAGTTATGGTAAAATAGTAGTAAAAATAGAGCCAATACAGTGTCTAATGAAGAATTCCGTGATATGGCTAAGTATAATAAATTAAACTTGGTTTTATACTGGTGGACAAGCGAATAAGTGCTTTGAAAATATGAGAACGCATTTTGCAAAAATTGAGTTTTCACACAAAGAATCCGGTAGCCTGTATTCCTAGCTAAGTGCTCTGACGATTCCGGTCGCTTTACTAATAACCTCCTACATATTTCTTTGACCTAGTCTAGGTTTCATGCATTTATTATAAGATCCCCAAAATAGGTCAGGCTCAAGAAAAAAAAGTGACTTGTACAAATTTTAAGCGGAAAAGTAGGCAGTCTATAGAGATAAACATAAATCAAGCAGCCTGAACAGGAGAGTATTAGAAATCAAGTGGAAACTACTTGTAGCTGTTTGAAAGGATCAGAGAGAGGAAACAAGAAGTATCACAAAGAAATAAAAGGCTTGGTTAGCCCCGAATCTGGCTTTGACTCTCACAAATCATGCTACAGTACACGCACAATGGAACACAGTAACATGCACCAACATTGCAGCAGCAAAAATATAAGTGATTTATGGGAGGATGCAGCTGTTGGGCGACAATTGAATCAGCTTCACACGCTATCTGAAGCCCCTTCGCTATTCAGCAAGCATCGAGGGAAAGCATAGAATAGCTAACCAAATAAAAGAACAAAGTAAGCAGAATTGCAGCCTCTCATCTTTCTTGTATTCGAGTTTTGGTGACATCGTAAAGCATGGTGTCCTGCTCTGATGATGTTCATCACATGACGTAGATAGGCTCAGCAAGGATTCATCATGGCCAAGATACAATGAGCCGAGGACAATTCTAATCACAGATTTGAGGCAATCCCTCTTTGGTTTCCGATGAGGTCAACTTAGGAATCCCTTCCACAAGCCTCTTCAACGAAATTAAAGATAGACTACAAGAATAAAAAAATGATCAAATGCATCAAATGAGTAAACACAAACATCATTAGGTGAGGTGGAAAAGGAATTAAGAGAATTAAAAAGATTACGTCTGCCTTACTTTATTCCTAACAAAGTGAGAATTCCTTAGACCATTTGGAAGATGAAGACAGCTCTCCACGAACACACGCAGTGAGTAAACACAAAACTAAAAATAAATATGCAATTAAAATAATTTGATATAAACTTCAAATTCAAGCCGAAAAATTGTTTTTCGAATACTTTGAACAAGTACCCATTAAAAATGAAGGTTACCGGCAATAGAGTAATAATAAGATAATAGTTTCTAGCAAATTTTAATGTCACATATTCGCAGTTATTAGGGATCCGATTATTGGAAAGGCCTACTTGGACTGATATCAAAGATATCTAAGAATATATGTGAGAAATAAATTTTTGCATTAATTTTCACTGCAAGTTATCCCACAAAAAAATCCTCATGAAACATGGTATAAGGTTTAGACCTCGCCTTATCTTAAAATTAGTATAATGACCTAGATCCGAACAGTGGATGCGTGCCCCAAAGGAGGAACCTTATCCCTGGGTCAAACTACAATATATCAAAATATGCACAGCCCGGATATAATTCAAAAAAGATAAAATCTCCAAAACTACATCTTTACTGAGGAATTTCACATTAAAGTCCAAATTTTGGAGTTAATTAAATAATCAGGCTCCTGACATGTATAATGAAAACTATAAAGTATAACAATTAATGCAAACAC